AAACCCTATTATATTACTTAAAATATATATAAATAATTACTGAATAATGCAATAATTATATTATAACTCACTAACAATACCAAATTACCCTAGTTTGTTATTAAAAATAAATAAGTTGAAATGATTTTCTATCAATTGAAGATCATTGGAGAAAAAGGTAGTTTTTAGCACGCTTGTTCATCAAAATAGGAAACTCATTGAACTCTGATTAGACTTTTTGCGATATCATTAAAAAAAAAATTTTTATTTCATTTTTTTTTTAATTTTTTTATGTTTCCATTTTTTTTTATATTTTTTTTTATACTTTCATTTTTTTTTATAATTATTTTTTTTTTCCTTATTTTTTTCCTTTTTATTTGCAATCATGCTAATTGTTTTCCACCTAATATTACTGCTCAAGAGCTTTTAAAATACAAGTTAATTCCAAACCCTTTCATAATATATAGAATAGCGTTGAAAATAGAATGTAAATCAAAAAATATTACTATTGAATGAAAGTTTGTTTCTAATATTGCAAGTAATTTATGGAAATCAGAACCTGCTAGTGTTAAAAATACTTATAAAGAAATAGAAAATGGGACCTTTAACGTTCCTGTATCTAATTCAATCTTCAGTATTTCAGATACTCCAACAAGTAATAAACAACAAATCTCTGAAGATATTGTAAGTGAACTTAGACGATTATATTATCAAGGAAACGTCACGTCATTGGGAAGAGTCTACGAGGTACAAGCCACGAGAAAGGGGTTTTTTGAAGTAAAAGAATACATAGTCTAAACACCACTGCCAAACTTGCCATAGGCTCATAGCAAAGCAGTAAAAAAAGAACATTGCATAAAACACAAGTGGGACTGCTCTGGTATAGAGCATAGGCCAAGGTTATATGTCATATTATGGAATGAATGTTGTAAAAGGTGTAAAAGCACTGTGTATGAGGATGATGAACACATACAAGAAATTTCTATCAAACATATAATAAGAAAACTAAGAAAGCTGCAATACTCCAGAACCAATGTCCAAATGGCAATTATCAGCAATTGATTAAAAATAAATCATGATAACTCCTTACATGATGCAGCAGCTAGCTGAGAAAGAAAACTCTGAACAAATAAGCTCAGAGATGACGCCTACCAAAGAAATGAGTGAAGCTACTGATGATAATAATGGTTACGAAAAATTAGTAAGTCAAAGTTATTATTTGGTATATAATGATTTTAACATGAATGGGTATGCAAATACTGGAAGGTAATTTACCTCCTTAGTTTTTAATTTTTTATGTAAAATTTATATTTTTAAAATGGCCATAATAGTGAATATGCTATGAAATAAGACAGAAGATGTCTGATTTGTGGTGTAATTCAAAAGTGCTTAGTGTGTAGCAGAGACTCGTCAAATCCAAAAGAAAGACTAGTGGTTTGTATCCAATCTTCTTAATTTTCTTTATTTGTTGAGTTTACATACTGATTGGACAAATTTAATTTCTAGATTTTGGCAGGAGGTGAAATAATTATTATATTTTTTGTTAATATTTTTTTATTGTGCTAAATCTGAGAATGTACATGATCAACAATCTAACGTTTCTTTTCGTTATTCTTTTTATAGGACGCGTAAGAGGACGCCGGCTTGTTCACGAAACTGGACTTTAAAGTAAAAAACGGGGAAAGGGGGAATGAAGTGGTCAAAGCAAGCCCAATTATTTGTTAATAACCTAAAACTAATACTATGGTTGTTTAATGTTAGATTGTTGTGTAATATAAGTTATTTACATAATACAATTAATAAATTAAATATGCACAATAAAATATTCTTTTCTTATTTAATGAACTTTTAAAAAACTTCTCAAAGTTTAAAGAATATAAAATGTAAATGATTACTCTTTCTGAAAATTATTTGTAGACGTAAAACCTATTTTAGAATACTGTATATATTATTTGAGATTTTATGATAATTCAATATTTTGATTCTGAATTCATACAATTTTTTATTTTAAAAAAAAAAATTTTATAAATGAAAATGTATAATATCATTAAGATGCTTTAAAAATATTATATTAATCAAAATAATGGTGTCATTAATAAAATTAGTATATTTTATAGTTTAAAATATTTTATTTTTTTTTTCATTAAGGAAATTAACAAGAATTACTACTCATTGTAATTATTTAAGGCGCTGAAATGACATGAAATTTAAATTTTCATGTCTGAGCCAATAATAATAATCTGAGTTAGACCAAATTCAATTTTGACCTTTATTTTACATATTCCAGTTTATGTATGAAAAAATCTTCATTTACATTGTACGATTTGTATCTATATTTCCATATCTTTGGCAATAGACTTTACAATGAATACTTTCTATAAAATTTTTTCTTTCTTTTTATGCAAAAAAAATTATTTCCCAAAATTAAAAATTAATGTTTAAAATTAAATTATAAATAATTTATTAAAATAATTGACAAAACATCAAGTTTCAATCTTTAAATTTTATAAATAAATATATTCACTATTTAAAAAATAAAATAAAATAAAATAAAAAAGTATAATTGAATTAATTGAATTCATATTTCTACTTTTTAATTACTTGAAATACTTCATAATTATCTACTGAAAACTTTGAAGTTGGAATACCTATATCAGGATAAAGAATAGCATTATAATCTTCATTAGCCCATTCATTATTACCATTACAATAAAAATAACCCATTTGTGGACCTTGACTATTATAACAAGAAATAGCATTATTTGGATTTTTAACATAACCTAAGTTTGCAGTAGAAATATTTTTTCCATCAGTAAAATTAAACATAAAACTATCTGTAGTAGTTTTCCGACCTGCTCCATCCCAATCAAGTGGATTATATCCTCCAATTAATTGTGTTGAATCTTGAATTTTTGCTACCCAAATAGTAGCTCCTTTATTATTACATTTTCTATGAAATGATTCAGCATCAAATCCATCCCGACCTGAATGATATAATAATTTGAAATAATAAGGAATATTTTTATTATTATAATGTGAAGAATCTTTTTTATCAATCCATGAAGCAAAAAGAGGAGTATGATTCGATTGAATTAAGGTTGAATTAAGTTTATATTTTGAATTTAATTTTCTTGATGGTGCCACACTTGTTTTGGGTTTAATATTAGGAACAATATGAAATTCCAAAAGTTCATGAATTAAATCTACTGGTAAGATGTCTTTGTAAATATAAACCTTGTAAAGGAAATCTTTAGGTTCAATATCATAAAATCTAATAAATGGAATGAATCTACGTAATAACCTTTCAATCTTTATAAAATCATCTTTACTCCATTTAGTTGGATCATTCTCCACATTTTGTTGAGCAAAGCACCATTTCATTAACCCTTCCCAAACTTTGATTTCACCCATACTTAAATCATCCCTTTTTAATAATAATTCCAATAAAGATGCTTTTAAATTAATAAATTTATCAGATTTAAATAAAATTTTAGGTTCTTCACAAATTTTTTCAAGATAAAAATTCCATAAATCTATAAATGTCTCATGTTGATAAACAGTTTCAAGAATACCAGTTGGATTTTGATGTAAAAATTCAGTTTGATGTTCAATTAAATATTCTTGAATATAAGAAATCAATGGAATGATATTAAGTTCATCAACGGCTATCAATAATTTCAATACATCCGGTCCTTGTAAATTTTCCAATTCAATTTTTCCGCAATAAATAAACCTAAAAAAAATATATAAATAATTTAATAATTATTGATTTGAAATTTTTAAAATTTTATTTAACATACGTTTTGTTTTGTTACCTAAGAATGATTTCAATTAAGTGAGGCGAAACATTTGGTTTCTTTAAAATAAATTTTCCATCCTTTTTTTCTGCCCATTCAGTTGAGAATGCTGTACGAAAATATTCTGACCTAATACATAAAATATTCGAATGAGCATGGATTTCTTTAATGTTTGGTTCTTCTCCTGCGTAAATAATGACGTCATATCCTATTTCAGTCTCAAAAAGTTTTTCATAATCATGAGATAACTCGGACCAAAATTTTGAAGACATTTTAAAAAACAGTACGTTTAAGTTTAAAAAAAAAAATTTTTGTCATATGATTGGGAGAAAAAAATTAACCTTAAATGTGATCGACTTGATCGACTTGTCATGTGAATGACTGCGTGGCTTCAATTAACTGCGGATTCACTGTTTAAATATAATAAACGAAACAATAAACGATAATCAACTTAAACAGCTCAATTAACAACAAATGTGTTCTTCAACAACTTTGTTTTATTAATTAAATCATTCTCAAATTTTATAAACATACAAATTATTTATACATTTTTATTTTTTAATTACTTGAAATACTTCATAATATTCTACTTTAAAATTAGGAATATCTGAAGTATTTGGAATACCAATATCAGGATAGCAAGTAGCATTATCATCATAATTAACCCACTTATTATCATCTTGACATATTAAAACACCCATTTGTGGACCTTGAGAATCGACACAATAAATAGCACTATCTGGATCATTAACATAACCTAATTTCGCAGTAGAAATATTTTTTCCATCTGTAAAATTAAATAAAAAACTATCTCTAGTGGATTTTCCAAACGTTATTCCCATTCCAATCAAGTGGATTATATCCTCCAATTAATTGTGTCGAATCTTGAATTTTTGCTACCCAAACAGTAGCTCCTTTATTGTTACATTTTCTATGAAATGATGCAGCATTAAATCCATCCCGACCCGAATGATATAATAATTTGAAATCATAGGGAATATTTTTATTATTGTAATGCGAAGAACCTTTTCTATCAATCCATGAAGCAAAAAGAGGAATATGGTTTGATTGAATTAGGGTTGAATCAATTTCAAAATTTAAATTTGGTTTTCTTGATGGAGTTATACTCGTTTTAAGCTTCGTATTAGGAACTATATGAAATTCTAAAAGATCATGAATTAAATCTTTAGGTAAGACGTCTCTATAATTATAAACTTTATAAAAGAAATCTGTAGGTTCGATATCATAAAATCTAATTAATGGAATAAACCTATATAATGATCTCTCAACTTTTGTAATATCATCCTTATTCCATTTTGTTGGATCATTTTCCATATTCTCTTGAGAAAAACTCCATTTCAATAAACTTTCCCAAATTTCGATTTCATTCATATTTAAATCATCTCTTTTTAATAATAATTCTAATAAAGGTTCTTTTAAATTAACAAATTTATCAGAATCAAATAAAATTTTAGGTTCCTTACAAATCGTTTCGAGACAAAAATTCCATAAATCTGTAAATGATTCGTGTTGATGAATAGTTTCAAGTATACCAGTTGGTTTTTGATACAAAAATTTGGCTTGATGTTTAACTAAATATCCTTGAATATGAGAAATTAATTGTTGAATATTGAGTTCATCTACGGCTAACAAATAATTCCAAAACATCTGATCCTTGCAGATTTTTCAATTCAATTTTTCCACAATAAATAAACCTAAAATATGATTAAATAATTATTAATTTGACATTTTCATTTTTTAATAAATTTTAAAATTTAATAATATACGTTTTTTTCTTTACCTGAGAATAATGTTGAATAAGTGAGGCGAAATATTTGGCTTTCTGTAAATAAACTTTCCATCTTTCTTTTCTGCCCATTTATTAGAAAATGCAGAACGAAAATATCCAGATCTAATAAATAAAATATTTGAATGAGCATGAAATTCCTTAATATTTGGTCCTTCTCCTGCGTAAATAATAACGTCATATCCTACTTCAGATTCAAAGAGTTTTTCGTAATCATCGGATAATTTCGAGCAAAAATTTGAAGACATTTGTACGTTTATTTCTTAAGGTTAAGGGTAAAAAAAGTTGATATACGATTGAAACAATTTTAAATATTATTTTCGGTGATCAACGTGTCATATGTGAGACTTTTTATTATGAATAAAAAATATACCTACGAATCACATTTGGATTTTCTCATTATGAATGAATGAATATACGAGGATGTCATGCTTCATGTGAATCACAGTGCCTGAATTTCGAGGGCTCCACCCTAAATGGGATGGATCGTAGCGTTTAAATAGGTTGATCTCCTCAATTATTCATTTCAATGGTTATTGCAACCTTGTTCAATGTATCACCACTTTCCCTAACGCATATAAAAGAAAGTAACAACTACATCATTTATAACAAAAGAAAATATCACTGGTTTAGCAGTTGTTTGACTTGATTCAACAATAAATAAATTACAAATATTTCGCTTCATATTAATTAAAATTTATGAAGTTTCATGGAAAATTACCAATAAATTCTCATTTACGATGTTTCACGCCGCGCATTTCTGATACTTTCTATAAACTTATCTGGTTGCGTCATCGAAATATTGTATTCATCAATTTTAATCACGTTGGAAAGATAAAAAAAGAGAGAGAATAACTGTCGTAACTCAGGTTTAATACAAAGGGAATGAAAAATGCAAATTGAATATAAAAAAAAGAAAGAAAAAAAGAATTAATAAAACGTGAGTAATAATAATCGAAAAGAACATGTATATTGGGAAAATAAAGATATATTATAGATAGGGATTTGAAAACGATTTTTTTATATATATGGAGGTTACAATAGTAATAAATATCAGATCACGTGAAATTTATAATCTAACTTTATTAAAAGTTTATTCTCCTTTATTATATAAGTAATGTGCGAATCACTCTAGTTCTTTTTTGGTTAAAAAAAAAAAAGCCAAACCAAGTTTGGTTAATAAAAAAAATTCCGTATTAAGATCGGCACTTTGTCATCCTTTTGTGGCATTATGTAATTTTAAATGGATTTATTTTAAAAATTTGTGTAATGGGATTTACCAAAAAATTGTGCCGATCCTTAGACGTACTGTATTGACGATTCATTATTCTTAGTATTCTTCAGAAAAATTAATTGTAAGAAAATTTTAGGTAATATTGAATTTTTTAGATTACTTTATGTAAAGTAAATATGAAAAAATAAATAGTATATTCGATGACGTTATTTAAGTTTTTATGAAAGACTGTTCATATTATATTCGAATTTAATAATGTTCATCAATGAAATATTTTAAAAATTATCTTGTTTTCCTTTATTAACATTTCGTTTAAAAAATGAAAATTCATTGTCATTAATAAATTCTATAAAATCAAATGATAAAACACAATTTTATTTTGAGTTTTTATTAGTGATCTTGGATTATGTTGATAATAAAATGATGTATTTACTTAAGTGGACCACATAATTATTATGTTTTCATCTTTATGCAAAGGTATGAGACTTAATAAGTTTATAAGTTTTTAAAACTTTAAATAACACCATATTATTTAACTTAAACACATTTGATTACTGTATAAAATATTGCAAGTACATTTTACGCGCTTCACATATGAAGATCACAAAATTGCCTTATTGCTGTATTGGTTATCTAAAAATCATTCAAATATGGAAAATATTAATATCAATGACATTATTCCCATAAATTCTGTAATGACGATCTCCATAGTGATAATACTATACTTTGTAATAGTATTTATTCAGTAAATATTAGTGATCTTGATTTATGTAGACCAGTTAATCAACCAAATATAAAAAATGAAATATACGGAGTTCGGCACCAGAAGTTTTACGTGGTAAACCATTCAACATGATGTCTATCATAATTACCATAGTACTACATAGTAGTAAATTTTATTTATGATAGTGTATTTACTGATTTTCTGGGTGAATTTTTAATTTTTTATAACCATTTTTAGTTAATTTAATGATTTTGGGTTAATTTTATTTTTATCATTTAATAATCACATGGTGTTTGTTAATAAGCGGTTATAAAAAATTAAAGATTGATCAAATTTAGTCCGTTCCAAATTAATAATTAGTTTAACGTTCTCTTTTTTGAAAAATTTAGGCATAAATTTATGTCATGTGACTTCATATGAAATCATGTGATTTAATAGTTGATGATCGCGTCTTCATAAAAAAATGTGTACTACATAATCTGATTTATATTTTAATCTTTTTTTTTTATTTTATCGTTGCCATTTACGAGAAAGTTACAAGATGCGCTATAGATATTGAAGAAAATAAAATAAAAATTTTGAAGACCCTCTAAATGAAATTCGGGTTATATAGTCGATGACCGAAAATATCTGTACAGTTTTATAATCCAATAACAAACCATTGGGTTAGTATTAAAAACTTAGTATGTAAAAGTTTTGAACCATGCCAAGTTAAGTATATTTTAAAAGATTTAGATGATATTGAACCTGATGATTCATTACAGAATCAATCGCATGTTAATCCTTTGTGGTAAATAGTAAGAAATATTATCTTCCAATATCGCACAAATCATCAACAAGACGAGACAATGACATATTACGGATTTTATAACAAATGCATAAAAGCTCCCGTAGTACAATACCATAGTTTATGAACTTCACTATGATTGAATCCTTTGCATTATAAAAATTCAAGAAGTTCTATACATTTTAATTTTGATATAAATGATAAATTAATATCATATTGAAAAATCTATACTATCAAGTATTAGTTCTTTCAAAGTTTCTGATCGAAATTCCAATTCCAAGTTAAATGAAATTTTCTGATATACATAAATATTCTCTTTAAAGGTTGTAATTTGATAATATCCGTATATTGTTTTACATATATGCCATTAAGAGAATTAATCCATAGTTCTATATTAACAATATCATTAATATCATTACAAAATGTAGAAATCATATTTAAAAATTTAGTGGTATTTCTGACGTTTTTTAGGACAAAAGAGAAAAAGAAAAACGAATAAATAAAAAATTCATTATAAATATGTTATTTAACATGTTTGTTTAAATTATACCCCAATTTTTTCAGACAAAAGGACTTTAAACTAATTATTAATTTGGAACGGCCTTGCTATAAATAAAATTATATCATGTTGAACCGAGTATTAATCAATTTTCATTTTTCAAAGGGTTTGACTTCGGGTACTACTTGACTACTCGTCTACTCGTAATACTGGAATCTTGTATGCAGTAACCCATGATCAATTCCGTAACTGGTAATCATCATGTGAATCTGTGAATGTGAAAATATAAAACGAATAAACAAATGTATTTTAAATAATATAACAGATAATCAAATTTATCATTCACATGTTTATTCACATGATTTCGTCTGTATTCATTGTGTACGGTGTGAGTTCTGCATAAAATTTCAAACTTTTTTAAATTTTCTTTGTTTACAAAATTGCGTAATTGCGTCAGTGTGTGTGATTAAATGATCAACATTTCAGATTTCCAACATTTCCGAGCTGAAATTGCCAATTTCTTTACTTATTCTTCATAAATACTATACTTATTATTGATTTTTCGCTAAATGTTTCAAAACCCAATTATTGTCGTCTGTAGCGGAGGTCTTTCTGGTCTTATCTTCGCTCTTTCTTTATCCGAAGTTTTTGTTACGAAAGAAATTACAGGAAAAATTCTTCTTTATCATGAATATTATAAAATTCGTAATTCGAAAGACCAGTCTTCTTCGTTAAATAAGAATGAAATTTTACGTCTTCCACAAAGTGTCCGTGATTATGTATCTTCTCCATATTCTCTACATGGATTCGAAGACCGACTTTTGGAGTTGATTAAAAAACTTCCCAAGGAAACTGTCCAACTTATTCACGAAAGGTATATATTATAAAATGTGTCAATCCGCAGTAATTTAAGTCTTTTGGTCATCGAAAGTTAAATACGTTCAATTCTAACAAAATTTTCCATTTTATTTAATCAGGTTTGACCCTGCACAAACGAGTCAAGATTTTAGATTTGATTTATTGGTTCTCGCAGATGGTTATAGCGTTAACCTTTATGACAGTTGCCAGTTCGAAAAAGAAGTTATTTCCAATCATTATGAATTAGAAATTAACTTTAGTCTTACCGAAAATCATTTTCAGAATAGCGAAATAGAGATCTTATCTTCATTTCAGATAAGATATTTGATGCAATTACAACAAAATAATCAAAATCTCAAAATAAATTTATCGAAATCTGAATTCGACAATATTGAACTTGATTCTGGTTCAAATTCAATAAAGAATAATCCTTGGTTTACGAATATTATACAAGACGGTTTTAGATTCTTTGAAATCAATAATTATGACTTGGGTTCAATCTCAAAAGTTTCAACTGACTCGTTAGTAAATAAAGAGTTCTATAAAAGCTATCAACATGGTCATAATGAAAATCTTGTGTGCGTGATTGGTGAATCGGCATTTAATTGTAAAGCTTGGCAAAATAAGAGGTAATTAATTTAGATAAACAACATCGGCGGTAACACAATGTGTACTAATACTGCATATTTTTTATGATAAAATCTTCCAGTATGAGCCTCGAAATTGCAATATCAACAGCTACGATATTAGCTGAGAAAATTTCCGATGAGCATGAACAAAAAATATCACTTGAAATAACTCGTAATATTCTTGATAAATTTTCCAATGGAATGTTAAACTATAAAAAAGAACTCGTACATCAATTTCAACTAAGAAGCATGGATAATATTCTTTCACAAGGTAAATTATCAAGACATATTCCTACGATATATTTTTTTCAAATAATACTGATGTATTTATAACAAACTTTTGTTTATTTATTTTCTTTTTTTTTAAAGTTATCCATAAAACCATTAATAATTATAATAAACAGTATCCAGATGATCAATCGCCTATCGACTCCTCTGATTTTATGACTACTCTGAACAAATATCCACGATTATTTGAGATTGATGTTCTCGATCAATTAAAAAAAGAGTACGTTAATAATGTCAAAATTTCTGCGCCCTTCATTAAAAAGCTAGATAGAATTCAAAACATAGTAAATTACTTTATAATTTTTGAATCATGCTTATCTTCTCATAAGAATATAGAGTCAAATAAAGGTAATTTTTCGTTATTTAGTACGTTCTTTTTATATAAAATGATTTATAACTATAATTACCATAATTAATAACTTTATTTATATTTTATAGGTGATTTGGTCAAATTAAGTCAATCTGTAATTCTTGATAAAAGCCTGGATCATGACGATCATATCTCTGATACAAGTTCTGAGGATTCTGATGACTCATCTGATAATGAAACGCAACCTGAATCTTTATCACTCGAGGAGTTTTTCCAAATTACTTTTGGAGACGAGCCAATCAGTTATGACGCTACAAACTTTGTAGTAGATGAATTGACTGAAGAAATATTTAAAGTTAAAGTGATACCTTCTTTAAAAGATCCTACAAATGGAATTCTTAGAAATATATTTCCATATATCATCGATATAATTAATAGAACCATTTCATTGCAACGTATTCAGGATTGCATTAGACAAATTTCAGACTCCAAAGAACTTGATGACTCTTCACAGACATTAAAACGATTAGTTGACTGCAAAGGAAGAGATTATCTTGTAGCTTTCTTGGATAAAGTACCAAAAAAAGCACTTTCGAAAATCTTACTTTCGCTTACTCGAGCGAATATTCCCATTCCATTATTATTCACAAATAAAAATGATTTTAGCCAAAAAGGTCTTCGAGTATTAAGAGAAATTCATAGTTTAATACTTCAAGAAAATTATCATTTATTATTATCATTCAATCTAACTACGAGCGAATTATCTTCACCATTCTCAAAAATGCTTTATCCAATTATTTGTAAACCTCGTGAAGATGGTTTAAGTATTACCTCGACTGGTTCAATCGATATTTCTTTTCATCCCGCTTCGGAAAATTATGAACGAAAACCTATTGCTATAGCTGAAGTATACTTTGAAGAAAACCCACATCAGACTTTTCTTAGCCTAATTAATAGCTTCTCACAATTTGCATTTTACATGTTCTTACATGTAAATGATCAAGATTTTGAAGGAAACTCGCCATCTAGTGAATTAAATCAACTTCTTAATACAATCTTAGCAGGATCCGATAATTTATTCATTTCAAAAATATCTGTAATATATTGGAGTAAATCAAAAAAAAATAATGATCCCTTCAGTAAACGTAAAAAGACTTTAAAAAAATTACTGGAACCACACTTCAAGTCTGAATGTATTAAAATTGAACAAATTTCTAACGACTTTAATCAATTTACCGAAAAGAAAAAAGATGACGTAATAAAAAAACTGTCAATACTCGAATCAAAAATTGTCCATCCATCACTATTTCTTAAATTATTAGATGGAAGTACTTTAAATATTTGGAAAAGTGAAACTGAAAAATCTGCATTCGCTTCTAAAATGAAGTCCATCGAATTTAATGGCAAATCAGATATTTTTCGTGCGACTCATCTAGAACATGAGATTGAAGCATTAAATGATAAGAAATCTACAACAGAATCACAAGAGAATTCAATATTCATATCTGAAGGAGAAATTCTTAATAAAATACAACAATATCGAAAAGAACAAGTTGAAATTAATACAAAAGAACCATTATCAATTTTCATTGATTTTGCAAAATTAATTAATGAAAATAATATAGAAAAAATAAGAGATTTTTCCTGTCAAATTGATGATTTTTTCAAAAAGTTTTTACATGAATTACAAAATTCAAAGAACGATGTAGAACGAACTGAAATCAATAGGATGATTGAGGAGAATGATATTTCTATCCATGACTTTTGGCTTGAATTTATTATATTATCTGAATTGCATAATAATCCTCGTAAATCTGTGTTAGAACAATTGTAAGTATTTAATCGTAAGTATATTTAAAAATTTATTTAAAATTTTAAAATTTATTTTTTTATTAAATTAGATATAATGTTAACTCAAAAAAACTGCAAGAAGCGTTCAAAACATGGATCCTTGAAGGAGAACCTTTGCAATTCCTCGATGGTTTATCATTACGCTCTCTTCCAACGAAGTTTTTATCCTGTGTTTTAGGTAAATTGATGACAAATGTTGAACGAAGATTAATTGTAATCTCAGTTATTGGACTAGAAAGTTCAGGGAAATCCACTCTTTTGAATTATTTATTCCATTGTGGATTTGCAACTTCTGCTTCAAGATGGTAAATATTTTATTAATAATCATTAGCCTTTTTTAAATATTATAAAATTAATATTTATTTTCTTTTTAGTACAAAAGGAGTATATATGAGTTATAGAACCGCGAATTTTGAGGGAAATACGATTGATCTTTTAATTCTTGATTCCGAAGGAATGGCATCAACTACTCAAAAATATATTACTCACCGTACCAATTTTGATAAAAAAATAACACTATTAGCATTAATGTGTTCGCAGAATATAATAATTAATACAAAAGGGTTAACAAGTGATATTGGTGATATATTAGAAGTATCTTCATGGCATTTGGACGCTCTTAGACATAGACAATCAAAACCGAGATTACATTTTGTACTTCGTGATATGATTGGTATGATAGAAGCTCAAGAACCAGCATTTAAGGATATTGTTGATGGACTAAAAAAAATGTTTGAGCAAATTCCTGGTTGTGTTGACACATTGGAGGATTTCATGTCAGTTGAACAACAAGACATTCATTTATTAGAAAATGCATTTAGCAGTTATCCAGATGAATTTCGTTCTCGTACTAACAGTATCGGAAAAACCGAAACCATTAATTTACCAGCCGTAAGTATATATATATATTGCTTGTTCTCACCACTCTCTGCAATAACCTCGTTTTTAATCATTTTCATTTATTATTTATTATAAATAATGTTTAAAAATTATTGATTTATATATCTTTAAAATAGGAAGTATTTTCTACAAGAATTTCAAATTTACGACAATCACTCCTAAAATCTGCTCTATTGCGCAAAAATACGTCAGAACAATTCACAAATGTACAAGGTATTAAAATTATCTGTCATTATCTCATATTTCACTTTACATAAATTAGATAGTATATTTATACACTCTTTTTAGGATTTATTCCGTATATGAAGACCGTATGGGGTAAAATTAATACATATGGAAGTTTTCTTCATTTTAAAAATTTTAAAGAAATTCAAGAATGGCGTCAAATGCGTGTTATTGTTAATACTATCAAAGAAAGTGAATTGCCAGAATTTATTACGAATTCTAAGGACATAATTAATAATTGTGTTAAAGAAATTGAATCAGATTATTCAAAATGGACTCAAATTGAAAGAGAATTTAGATCTGAATTAGATATTCTTAATGATAACTGGACAGAAAAATGTCTGAAATATTATTCCAAATTTGTACAAGAACAATTTGATGCTGATATTATAGAAGAAGGAAAGAGACTTATTCGTAATATGATCACGGTAGAAAGAAGAGAACAAGATGCTCAATGGATGTCTTTAGTAAGAAAATATAAAGATGATTGGTTAACACAATGCGCGATAAAAAAAGCTGGTAAAAAAATCCAGGGATTAAATACAACTGGTTTTAAAAAGATCAATGAAGCAGAATGTGCAAAAATATTTGAAGATATTTGGAAAGAGGTAGAAGATGATAAAAAAGAATTTAATCGTCAGATGGTATATCAGTCAGAAAAATTAAAACAACATGTTCAAGAAACTTTTAATAATGCTGTTAGTGAATTTAGTTCAACAGTACGTCAAGATTCAAAAGAAAAAGAAAAATTCAAAAGAGTTTTTTGGATAAGTATAAAGAAACCATCAACTTTGGAAGAAAATATTAATATTGATGTGAAACAAATTCAAAATATAATTGAAAAAACAGATTTTTTGAGTCCTTTTACGCAAAAAACGATCAAAAAAAAGACGGCTAAAGAAATTAATGACAAATTTATGCAGACAATTGATGGAATTACTTCTGAAGTGAGACGAAAATCATCTTTACATATTGAATATGGACAGACAATCAAATGGCTAGAAACAATATGTAACTGTTTATTTGAATTTACATAATCACCAACTAGTAAAATTGAATTTAAGATTGAATTTGATATTTTTGAGGTAATTACTATTACATAATGTTTTACATAATATTTCTTATCTCATGCTTACATGTATTAATCGAATATTAAATAATTTATATTTACAGAAATATTTAAGATCACAAATATATAATACATTGAGTAATAATACTATTGAATGGGAAAATCAACAAAAAGAAAACTTGGATAACTTGAAAAAAAATTTATCATTATTATTTAAAAAGACTTTAGCAAATTTTTCTTATGAAAGTCTCTCCAAGGAAGTTCTTAATTATCTATCAATAGCATTTAAGCAACAAATATCAGAAATCGAAGAATCGGTTGATCAAAGTCTTCAAAATTATTTAAGAGAAAGTTGGACGGACGCATACACTACAACAAATCATGCTTACATGCAAAGTTTTGATGTATTAAACATTAATGAAATTCGAGAATACCTTAGAGACCCGATAGAATATATGAATAAAATTTTTAATTCCAGTCTTTCCGTATATATAAAAAGTTTGGTGAATTCAAAATTATGTGAAATCGATAATTATTATAAAAATACAATAGAAGGTCTAACAAATGCTGTTTCTAAATTGAGTTCATTATTTGATCCAAGTAAAGAATATGAACAACTGCAATTATCAAGCCTTTTTAATGATTTGCCAGTAGACTTTTCCAAAATTTTAAAAGATGTGAATAATCTGCTTGGAAGTGTTACTATTAAAAAACCTGTTGATTTTTGTGATTTACTTCATAAGTCCTTAAAAAATATACAAAATATATGGACTGATAATGAAAAATCTGAATCAAAGGAAAAAATGTTTATGTATTTGGAGGCAAAATTGGTTTATTGGAATAAAATTGGTTGTTCAGCAAGATGTCCACTTTGTTCTTCCAAATGTGAGCTACCAGATGATGGTCATACTAAACATCAAGTATCTAAACATTTACTTTCAGCTTTTTCTGGTTTTCGTGATGTAAAAACAAGGTTTCCAACTTTAATCATATGTACTGAAGACAAATCTTATAACAGCAAATGGGGATGTGATAAGGATTCAATTTATTTACCCCTCACTGAATTTTTGTCTAAATATCATCCGTCATGGCTTCCTTTTCCTCGATCAGAACCTTCTGATGAACATATAAAAAAAATGCGTGCAATCTGGTGGAAACTTAAAGATGAACTATGTGAGGAGTATAGCATGATTGATAATACTGATCCTTTATGGAAATTCAAATATGGAAACCTCATTTCTGAATAATTAACTATTATTTCATGATATTAGATGATATTAGTCTTATTTTGTTTCAATTTTTTTTTTATAAAATTTAAAAAATTTTTCTTTTTTTTGGTCAAACATCTTGTATTCAAATGACCAGTAATTTACCATGTTTTTTGTAATTATAAAAATATAAATAAAAAAGAACGATTTTTATTTTAGATCATCATGATTAGCTTTAGCCTGTTGCATTGCAACAGGGTTAACTGGGTTTATATCAATATAACTGATAACAATAAATTTGTTTTATATTAAGATAAATTAGATCTTATATAATATTATCATGTTCTTTTATTTTTAAGTGAAAAAAATATGCAAAAAAAATCATACAAAGCATATTTATTCAATAAAAAAATTATTTTATTTTGATTATATTGCTGATCCAAACCTAAGAGGTGAAAGAACAAAATAAAAGAAAAATTAGAAAAAAAAAATTAGAAAAAAAAAAATTAAAATCACTCTTGAACAGAACTGTATTAGTGATGAAATCTCGCCATCGGAACGTACACATGACCTGACAGCAATCAACATTATAATTACCAGTTACGGAATAGATCAGGCGCAGACGAATCACACATCGCAATTCAAAATTTATTTATACCAGATACAGGGTAAAAAAAACTTCTTCCTCAATTTCTTAAAAACATAATAATTCCGCAGTAAAAAATAAAAATTTTTTTACTTTCGTTTTTATTAATATGGAAGATAGTAGAAATATACAAATAGCTGAAAATACAGTGTTCGGAAATGATCTGGTCATTTGACCTTTTAAATGATTTATGAAATCATTTGTCATTATTCATAATCATTTGTCATTTGGTCATTTCAATCATTTGATTTTGATTGGCTAATATTTATCACATAAATAATCATGTGACTATAATTAAAAAATAATGAATTAGAGGTCTGCATTGACCACTATTTTACAACCCGGCCCGGTCTGCACTTGGAAATTAACATAAAGTGCCCGGCCCGGACTTAAAATATTAAAAACCTAGCCTGGACCGGACTCGGACTTTTATTATATCATTTTGTTGTAAAAACAAAAAAATCGGCCAACTTAATTTTGGCCAGTTTAATTTTGGCCGGAATTAAGGCGATTTTGGCCAGAATTATGAAAATCCGGGTTCAACGAAAATTCATGTGCCGGCCCGGATCCGGCCCGGGTGAATTTTGAAGAAAGTTTGCCGGCCCAAACCCGGATCCAGATCCAGGCCGGGTTAGGGTTTCCAGGTTCTGGGTCCCGTTTGCTAATGAATGTAGTGTAGGCAAAAATTATAATGCTGACCAAAATTACATTCAAATGACCAAAAGTCATTTGTCATTTAAGCATTGAAATGACATGTTATTTGTCATTTGTCATTTGAATCATTTGGTCATTTCAAGTCATTTGCCAAACACTGCGAAAATAAGTTTCCTTATGGAACTGGCGAAGAATATAGATTTTTACATTTTACATATACACATTATTTTCAATATTGTGAAAGTCTTTTTACTTCATTTTTTTCTGGACCTCAAGTAGAAGTTCAAAATAATATTTTAAAAGCAAATTTTGGTCTATCAAATGAATAAATACTCAGTTGGGAGAATAAAGCCGCTCACTATAAAATGACACCTCAAAGTTTTTCTTTTTTTTTACATGTTGCTATGTACTCTGCTTCTCAGGGTTTTAACGCAGTATACTCTGGAATAAAAAAGCGCAGTGAAGGAAGAAAGCAAATGTTACGTTTAGTGAGAAAGCATAAAGAAAAGTCTAAAAAGGGCAAGAAGGCTAAAAAAAATAAGAAGAAAAAACACCAATCTGAAGATTCCGATTCTGATGTGCTTACAGATGTAAGTACTAGTGAAATAATAAGAAATACTGATGATGATGATGATCAATTGGGTGTTGATCAAGATGTAATTATAAATCGGTCGATTGCGGATGCCTCTGGATCACAATCACATGTTGACCAATATATTGATATGGACATCTTAACAGTACAACCTATTTCTGAACTGGATGTAATGCCTCAGCCGCAGCTTGTAAAACAACCAGTTGACAATTCATCTAATTTGACAAAATCTTCGAATAAAAAAAAGAAGTCAAATAAAAATATTATTCAACAAGTTATTACAGGTCATAAACCAAATGATGATGATACATCACGGATTAGAAATATATTGGTTTATGATGTTCCAGTATCCTTGACACCAGAAGAAATTCTGCAACAGTTAACTCTGTGGGGAAAGACTATCTCGTTACAAATGAAACAACAAAAGAAATACCAGACAGTTCGTTTGAAGATAGAATTAACTTCCTTTTGTCTAGCCCAGTTCAAAGGTAATGATGGTCTGATTTGGACTACGAATTTAGGGAGGATACCAGTTCAGTAATTTCCAGCAAGGTGGACACTCAAAGAAAGAAAACAATATGAGAAGTTTCAAGCTACAATTCGAAAAATTCCAGATTCGATGACAGTAGCAACCTTATAGAAAGACTATCACCCACATTCATTCCTTACTGCGATTAATGGTTTGAAAAGCTTTAAAATTGTACAAACAGCAAAAGGGGATCGTAAGCTTATTGGTTATTTTGAAAAGTGGGTTGATATGCGTACAGCATTAGATAATCAATATGATTAAGAGCAACAGCACCTGTCTTGGAATCGACATGATCCTCCAATGCAATGAACAAGGTTATTTGGCAATAATGCCAACAAGGATCAGAAAAGAACTTCAGGAAGTCGACAGACTGATAAAAGTCAAAAGAATTCTAAGAATCCTAAAAAGAAACCACCTGAGAAGCATAAAAAGCAGAAAAAAGATAAGTCCCGTAAAACATCACGATCTAAGGTCTTAGCGGAAATTTTAGATGTTTTGCGTAAATTAATTTAGGATATACTAGATTTTTTTAGGTTTTAGAATTGTTTTATGTTATAGTTTTATTTTTTTTTATAGAGAAATATCTTTGAGCTAGTCACCTAAGGATGTACGAATACCGGTAGGATGTTTTATGCATGTAAAAGTATTTGGGCAGGCATAATGGTAGATAGTTCTTTTGAACACATATTCTTAAGTCACCAAGTTTTTTATTAGTTTTTATTCGATCTTATATTTAAACTAGATTAGTTCAATTTTGTATATTTTTCTTTTATAATAAATTTTTCCTTTATTTAAAAAAA